CCCCAAAACCCCAAAACCCCAAAACCCCAAAACCCCAAAACCCCAAAACCCCAAAACCCCTTTGAGGGATCTTCTAATTGAAAAAAGTTTAAGTATAAGAATAATTACTACTCAGGAAGTTTTACCTTCTTGATTTTATCAAACATCAGCCTATACTTGATGAACACTTTCTCATTATAATTTGAGATTGGGAGGGCAAAGTGATGGTTCCATTTCTTTTCTTTCTTTTTAATTTTTGCAATCATCTTGTCAAGATCGTTAGACTTAGAAACCGCTAAAGATTTGTTTCTTTTAGTTCTATCAATGAAGCGGGTCCTTAAGAATGATGCAAATATTTCATTAGGAGTTTGCCCATATTCAGATATAGTTCCGTAACTCTGATTCTTGAATTTTTCAAGATATTCTCTGGAGGTAAGAGGTTTAAAGCTTTTATCAATTTGATTAGCACGTCTTGATCTTATATGACTCACAGACCCTTTCTTTTTAGAAAAGATTCTGCTATCATAATCCATGATTTCAGGCAACGATCCTTTATTATTATAAGTTAATCCTGATCTGCTTTGAAGCACATGATGTCTAAAATTTTGATTAAATCTTACTTTGAATTATTTGCAAAATTTTTGTCCCATCTATTTTTCTAATTTAGAGTTCTTCACAAAATCTGTCTTTGAAATGAATGGCATTCTAAGGTTAGAATCATTTCATGTCATTTTTCTTTCGGACTCACTTCCATAATGTATTGATCTCTCATATTTACACTTCTTAGGGCTCCTAACGGTCGTCCTCAAATTAAAATCCTATAAAAACCACTCAACCTAAAATTTCCCATCTCACCCTTAGGTCCAAAATCCATTTAAAACAATTCAAAATTCATTAAAACTCCCTCAATCTCACTTCTAATTCTATTTTCTCATATTTTTAATTTCCTATTACCTTCCTAGCCTTTTTACTCTTCTTCCTCACACTATTAACATATCTCCTAAACAAAGCATGCCTCTTCCTCTTCTTATTAAACCCAGCACTTGCTAGCTTAACTTCTTCTTCAACAACCGGCTGCTCAGCAGCCGGTTTGGGAGGAACAGAGTCCATCATGAGCAAATAAAAGATTTAATATTAAATTATAAAATATCAATGTGGTAATTTCCTACTGGGGTTTTGGGGTTTTGGGGTTTTGGGGTTTTGGGGTTTTGGGG